ACCCACCGGTTCCGATATTCCAGTTACGAACGGAAGTATTGGCCGTGTTGCAAGAAGTGTCCGACTCGGATCCGGTCGAGGAGCTTGAGACCTCGTCCTCAAACGATCTGGCAACCGCATCTCTCGGGGATGTAAGTTGACCCTCCCTCCCTCGTGTTTGTTCTGTTTCCGTTGTCCATCCCCGTTATTCCTTGCATTAGGTCTAGAGAATGTTCTCACTATTCGTTGAGTGCGTTTTTTTCGAAATTACAGCGATTTTTTCAACACTACTGATTATTTCACATTTAGGTCACAGTTACTTGTGAGTACTAGTGTTGGATAATTGATACCGATTTGAACTGACCATCCTTCGGACTTCCCCTTCTCGCACAATCCTCAGTTGTTCCACCGAACCGTATACTCCGAAGTGCTTCCGAGTATATCATTGACTGGAAGAACTGAGGATTGTGCGAGAAGGTGAAGTCGCAAGGATGGTCAGTTCAAATCAAAATCAAATTGTGATTGTAACTGAAGCACATGCCATATATAACTCCGCTGATAAAGCGGGTGTAGTCGAAAACGCGAACCTTGTACTTCATGTCCATTAGTTACTAACACACGAAAAAATTTCAAAAAGTGTGCAGTGAAACGCAAAAAAATGTTTTCTCGTTTATTCGTAATTTTCCATTTCAACAGTTCCGTCTTTTTCCTATGTTCTGTATCTCACCCCCCCTCCAGTTATTGTTATTGTTATCATTGTTGTGGCGTTGCACCATGTTTGCCCACAAGCCGGTGTTAAATACATATAGATACTGCTCAGTTTTGAGCAATATTATCGGACCAGGATAAAAATAGATTGTCGGTGTTCGAACGTTGCTTTCCACGAATCTGATAGGTAAACCGGACATGGATTTCTGAGGCTAGTTGCGGAGAAGTCAGGTTACGACAGTCGTATTCTGGAACAAGTGGTCGACTGCCATAGATACCGCTTTTTGGAATATTCCCATCTTGACATTGCCTTCAACATTGCAGTTTTCCCCCAAGTCACTCATCCAAATGGGCAGCCAAAAGACAGCAACCAAACCGGTCGCACGAAGATGCACGGTTATTGGTTGTAAGAAGTGATACTGAATCCTATCGAAACTTGGTTTGTTTCATTTTATCATTTTCTCAAGATTGAACACATCGGTTTTGTATGTGTCCAATACTGTCATCGCTGTAGCATATAACTCATGGATTGATTTGGTCATGGTCCACATAGTTTCAGGTTTCCCAAACCAACACAAGTGATTTGCATAGCGTCTCAGCATCGTCGCTTCCTTCTAGCCAAGGCCTGACTTTCAAAATAGCTTTTCAAGGTACGAAAATTACAATCTATTGACGACCGGTGACTAGTCAGTCAACCAGGTGCTACGTTCCTGATGTACAGCGCACATGTTCAAGTTGCAAGATACAGATCACTGCGTCCGGATCAAGTCTCTCTGGTATGTAATCGAAGACATTGTGCGTGTATGTGGAGCGCTCGGAAATTACGTGTCACTCCCGATGCATTGTTTGGAGGTGATGAAAGAGTCCAGTCCCCATAAACTTGTACTGAGGGGAGCCGTTAAGTATGATATATTGGATCGACCATCCTTCATCTTTGTTGGTGTATGGAGTTTGAAGTTGTTAGGCCTGTCGTGGGTTTTAGATTTTTGATCAGCTACCGGAAACAACCAGTGGGATCATAAGTATTGAATTGTTTTAACTACTTCATGATTTTTCCTGTGTCGAAGTGAAAGCGACTGGCATACCTAATGTGGAGACGGTATAAATCAGTGTGATAGCTACCAAAACCGAATTCGCTTTATTGAATAGAAACACTTTTAAGCTCACGGTCTCACTTTTCTAGTCTTAGTTATTCTTTTATGTAAGCGTCCCGATCGTTCATTTCATGTTTTCAGTGGTCTTTGGTTGGTCATGCTTTAAGCAGTAAGCATCACTGCTGGAAACCTTGGTTCCCGTTGGCTGTACAAACCGTGTTTGGTCTGTTGGATCACCTGGGTCGTTGGCATCGGGAACAACAACTCGCTGCTGCCTCGTCCGCAACCAAACCTCAGACAGGTGCTCCAGCCACCGGTGCCCCGGTTGCTAATAAGCCATCATTGTCTGAAACCGTGTCACCTTCCGGTAAGTTTGTCTGTCTTGTTGCGCATCACTCCCTTGTCTCGTTTGGTTTCCGATGTCATTCATACTCAGAGCGAGAGCGAGATCGGTACTTTACCAATAAGGATATTTGTGGCATTTTTTGTCCCAGACATATTTGGGTAGTTTAGTTTTTCATCTATTTATTTCTTCCACTTTAATCCATTCAATACTTATGAAAGTTAAAAAAACTTTTCAACTCGAGGAATCGTCATAACTTTACAAATTGGATCCTGCATGTCAAACAACCATCGAGCCGCCTTGTGATATCGTGAATGCAGCATGCATAAGATTGGTTTTCAGTGGAGCACCGGCGAACCTCTCCTTCGGGATGTCTCTGTTCCCATCTATTTTCAGCGTTTTGTATTGAGCATAAGAAATTTTTCCACAAAGCCGGTGCTCCCACTCAGATCAATCTTGTATATGCAGAATTCACCATCTCACAAGGTGATTCGATGGCTGGTTGACATTTACGCCATCCGCCGCTCATCTTTCTTGTCATATTGAAAAACATAGCCTGATTTTATCCCATTCGGATCCAGTGTGTTAGCTACTGTTTCAAGTATATGAAATTCCTGATACATCCTTGCATAAACAAGTGAAAACAATAGGAAAAATATCATTTCTCATTGTATGTCATGAACTCACAAGTGATATTCAAGACATATGGCAAACTATTTTATTCTGAACCCATTCAAATCATATCTATCTAAATGTGCGCGGAAATCCGGGTTGATCTCAGTTGACGTCCACACACGGATGGCACAAACAGATACGTAACTAGTGACAATGTTTAAACCGGTTTTTCGATTGACTAATACACAACTTGACTAATTTAATTCCAAAAGACGGTGCCTGGTTGAGACTAGTTCTTTATTGCAAACCAGGGTTAAGATATAGATAATTTGGTGCACATATCACAAGTCATCGCAATTCCCGGCAGTACTCAGGTTAGTGGACGGAATAGACTGCAGTTATCATTTTAAACACAGCAATTCGCTCTAAGAGATCTTGTTCATTTATGATCTTTGAGAGAAGCCTCTAATTGCAATATTTTCCATACTACTCACAAATGTTAGTAGCACCCCACAACAGGGTATTCTTTCGCTTCGCACCTGTTTGGTTGATTGAATAAATATCCTTGTAATGACTTAAGAGCGAAATCATTTGATACATGTGTTCGTCCATGCACTGGTTCAATTACCGTTCCCCCACATTCTCTCATCACTATTATCTTTCCTTGAAATGTTTGCCCCAACTTACTCCTTTTACACTTGTTTAACACTTTAGTTTCGTAACGTAAATAAATTCAAATTTCTCTTGATCCAACCGTAAATCGCCATGTTTGGATAGTTATGTCGAAACACATTCACAAAATCGACTTACCCTCACCCAACTGTTAGTCGTCATCTGCCGGGACAAAACGTTCGAACAGTCACTAGCCCCACTCGAGACACGTGTGCACCGTATGTATACTTGGCTAAGCGAACCAGATTTCTTAGTAATAATGAAGCCTACGAAACTACATTGTGAACCATTCAAGGTCGCAACCTTATTATTCCATCAATTCGTTTATGCACTTACCTTCTCCACTGATCAATAACTGACTCATCACTTGCGCATCGTTTTCCATTCCTTTCCTGAGAAGGGCAATCCGAAGTGATTAACATACCACTATCGTTAATTTAAACCATACAATCCGAGAGTGGAATGTTCGAGAAAAGAAGATTACCGAGTCACGTTCATCAAGGTTGTATTAGGATTGATTGGAACTTACCATCCAAGCAAGTGATCAAAGCTTATTTACGAAAATCGTTGTCGGAAGCAAGGAAAGCTTCCCTGTGAAACGCACTTGTTCTTGATGACCGATAGCTTGTTCAGGAGACTTATTTGGAAAAAATAACTGGATGAGGTACGGAAGAGGCAGCTTCATTACAATAAAAATGACAGCAATAGTGAACCATGCCATTGAGTAAAGAACAACTAACAATTTTAGAGTTTCAAATTTGGTTTAGCTCATTAGATTGTCCAGAAGCACCAGGCACTGTTGATGATCTTTGGTGTGGGTTTCACTCCTTAAAATGCGCTGGATAGCTGTTTCGTCCTATTTGGAACTCGTCAGCGGTCTTTATTTTTGTGTCCCTGTCACGCACCCAAGACGATCGAGAGCGCTTGGTGCCTCTGAACAATCGAATGGGTTAATCCAAGCTTGATACTCTAAAATTGACAGCCATTCGCACAACGTGATCACCGTCGACCGTGTAACTCAAGCGTACGGATTTGAAGATCAAACCGAGGTAAGCAACGGATGAAATAAAGTTGAGGACGATAAAGCTAAGACCTAGCATAAAGGTATGAAAACCCTAACTAGGAGACTTGTCCACATAGGCTTTGTTAAGCTTCTTGGATGGGGACCCCGAGATGATAGCACCCAGTGATTAGAGATACTGAAAGATATGGTTGAGCGTCGCAAACAGCGGCGCTCATGTACCTACTCGCTATCCCTGAAACCTTAGTTCATGTAAATCATCTATCTTACCTTTTACTCTGCTCACAACATTCCAGTCTACCTTCTGTTTTCTTATCCTATCCTAAAGACAACAAAACAAAATCGCAGCACAAAGGAATTCATGAATATTGGTTGTAAAAGCTGAACTGAATAGCTTATCCATTGACAGAGGCGAATAGTAGATATGTGAAAGATAATCATGGTCTTTCAAAACAACGCAGAATTACGAGTCACAAACAGGACGAAACAGTTGTCCAGTGCTGTTTCTCGGTTATCACAAACATTTCCAACGCATTTGAGTAACTAGCAATGTTATTACATAAAGCAATTTACCCCGTGTATATTAAGTGGCATAATACTGAAAATCATTTTTTTTCGGGCAAGAGAGTAGAACTACTGGACTTGATTTCTATTGTTTATTGCAATCTCATCATGCGTGATATCGTGGTGTTGGCTTATTTACGCTGTCTTAATTACTTTTGCATCCTTCCATCTGTTTTGTTTTCTGTCAATTTTTCATCTGCTGCAAATTTCTAGCAGTAAAACGTGTGGGCGCATTCCTCGCACAAATTCCCCACCAGTTACAAGCTCGAGCTAGTCTGCGTTCCGGTGGTTTCGCGCGTTCTCTGCTACAGTGGGAGCTCGCTTACGATGAGGACGCGGTCGCTCAACAATCTGCGTATACAACCGGAGTCGCACTGATCCGGCGTTCCGCTGTCGCCCGGGTCACAGAGTTTGTCAGTCCACACACCTCGAATGAGGCATCTGGTGATCCGGTAGGAAGCGTTGGTCCGGTCGCTCTTGCCGCATTCGGAGGTCTGTTGAACACATACACCTGTCTGAGAGACAGTGACGGTAAGTCACAAAAGGAATGGGCTTTTGTAGTACAATAAGCTACTGAGCTACTGAGTTCGGTCAGTCATGGGGGTGGCGCAGTGGCTTAGTCGTTGTCACCGGCGTGCTTCGGATCCTGTTGTTCTAGGTTTGAGCCCTAACACCGCCACCCGACTTTGGTGGTGGGCAGCTCTGCTATCGTCTGGTTCTGTCCCCCGCCTGAGCTACCGGCGGGGCCTTGTGTGGTTCGCCACTCCAAGTCCCGGCGCTTAGGNATAAAAAAATGTCATATGCGACACTCCTGGACGTTGTTCAAAATGGTCAGGCTGAGTGAGTGTCGCCCACCGATGAAACACCGAACATCGCCGTCTTACCTTGTTTTCAGTAATATCCGATTCACTGGGAATCTGGGCATGTGTCTAACCGTTTTGCAATCTGTGTTGGCATTTGCCAACGTCCTTCTGGTCAGCACTATACACATTTGCATACTAATTTGTCATTGTGGCCTGATATTTCATCGGGGAATGATCTGTTCTTGCCTGGGTTTAGATGTCTATGTAGCATTTTTAGTTCATTTCTGTGGTCAACAGTCACAAAGATCTTAGGTGTGCAATCCACACTACACAGGCACACATCAATCCACCTATCTTTTCCGCATTATGCTTATATACTAGGAGAGGCAGAGAAGTGCCACGTGCATCACACTAACTGCTTTACTACTGATTTAGATCGGAACTTGATACGGCCAGACATAGGACTAAATTACGCTGATATTCTCAATGATGAGTAAAACAGTAGAGTTTGTCTGACGCAGATGTCCTCGACCATACATCCAGTGTCGGATTCCGGAGCCGTTGAACATCGATGCATATATGCTGCAATCGGCTCTTCAATGACCGCATTTGGTCCGAGTGGTTATTGGTTTGTGCTCTTACTCGCCCAGGAGGGAACCTTTCTAATCACTGACATCACATTTACACGAACCATCTCTCAGCTGATGATTGGAACCGGATGCAATCAAATAAACTTGTCATCTAGTTGATATTCTAAAAATGTATTATTTGTATCAACCAAGCTCTTTCTCATTTGATTTCGTTCCCCAGGTTTGGCTGGTGTGCTCGCTGTGAGTCAACTAGCCACCGGCAGCATGCAGCTGAAATCAGGCGAGAAATCTCCTCCACCGAGGATAAGTGCCGGAGACGAACGGTTTTCCACACTACGTGCTTTGGAATTGGAGAACGAAGGTCAACTCGATATGGCTGCGGCCTCATACGAGCACAATCTGGCCCATTGGGAATTCGCCTCGAACACGCAAATAGCATCGACCCACACACTGGACCAGCAAGACAGTGCGAATTCTCATGAACTGACGGGATCGGCGCACGATCAACGCCTTGTTTTGTACGCGGGTTTGTTCCGTTGTGAACTGTCCGATCCGGCCCGCTTACATGGTTTGGTTGAACGGGCTGGAGCCTTAATACGGCGACATCCCTCGGGCGAATCGGTAATGAAACCGTCCGCGGCCCTAAAGAGCACCCAAAAGGTTTTGCCATCCGCAACCAGCGCGGCTTGGACACGTCGGTTGAATGCCTATCGTGCAGAGGCCGCTTGGCGTCTGTCCGACTGGAACACACTGCGTGAAACCACAAGTTTGGTATGTGTTCGATCCGAATCTATGCAGTCTTTTCGCTACGCTCCTGACACTTCTTGTAACTCAGTGGTTTTAGCTCTTCGGTTGCTTCTGCTTATCGATTCAATTCATTCCGTGGTTTGGCTGTTATCAACCGTACTATGAACTGGTTTCGATTCCCCCATTTTCTCTTTCAGGATCCATCAGCTTCATCGTGGTCCGTCGGTTTAGGCAAACTGTTTCTGGCTGTCAGCGATCAGGTGAGTTCATCAAATTTGCCCGACCTTTTTCTATCAAACTTCACCAACGTATGACATAATCTTAACTTCGCTGATCGTTGTTGCCACATTACTTGGCGGATGGCAAAGGAACCACTCAGATCCATCTATTTTTTCGATATTATGTTGTCCTTTGAACGGCAAAGCACACATCTGCATTGTTCCATCGTCCTTCTTGCCCTCCCTTCCACTGTCCATTTCGTCATCCGCGTATAGCGTCCATCGGATCGACTGCCGATGTTGACTAATCTTCGCACTGGCCTAATGACAGATTTGGGTGCAGCCGCTTTGGAGGGTCCCGGTGGGTATGCCCGTGCCTATGATACCATTGCCCGACTGAGCACGTTAGCGGATGTGGAACTGATTGCCCAACTGGGTGATCTCGTGCATCGACAACTAGGCATAGGTTTCGATCACATGATCAACAATCAAGTGTTTGTACAATTGCAGGTAAGCAGTACACTTCACTTTATCTTGTCTCTCACTGTCTGTGGTCTTCATTCTTTCTTCTGTTTCCAGACTGATAAGAAATGAACTAGCCAAGTGATGATATTTTAGTTTCAGAATATTTGCTCATGCGCGCTACTTGACTTGTCCAATAGATCTTCTTGCGCGCCCTTCGTTTCTTGCCAGAGCAACGAGTGTGAATTCACTAAGTTTTTTTCCACGCTCCCGATGAACTATTCTTACCACTTTATATGACGTTACACAACTTCTGCTTCCTATTGTAAGGTTTGTTTGGTTTCTCGCGCACTGTGCACTTACATGTATATAGCTGACAGTGAGTCTTTGAGTGCGTGCATAATTTGCATAGAATTCCTTACCGCTCTCATTAGTAACGCATGAGATCAATGCCGACGTTAGGCGTAGAGTTTTAGGTAATCACGGTCGTCCACTGGAGCAAGTAGTCGACCTCCATAGATCACGCTGGTTGAGGCGTGACTAACGTATATCGCCAAATAGATTGTCACGCCACGCATTGCTTACCTAGGTGGGCAACGGGTGGAAGGTCAGGTGCAGTGAAAATAAGACCTAGAATGAGGGTATGAAAACCGTGACCAGGAAACTTGCTCACATTGACCATGTTCGGCTTCCTTTCTGGGGACCCCGAGATCATGGCCACCGATGGTTAGAGACACTGAGCGATGTGGCTGGGTGTCGCAAACAGTAACGCTCATGCCTCTACTCAGTATTCTTGCCAGCTTAGTCTATATGAATTCTCTATCTTTCGCTTGAATCTGCTGTCAACATTCAAATCTTCATTCTGCTGTTTTATCTAAATGGGCGACCAAAAAAAAAACAATAACCAAAACTGGCACATGAAAGTTCATGGTTAATGGTTATAACTGAAAGTGAAACTGAACTGAAACATGAGTTCACGATGTTTTTTCTCTTTTAACGGTATGACTACTTCGTTCCAGACTGAGACTCGAGGCCGTATCTGGTTGTTTTCCGTGAATATTTTTGAGATGATATAAGTTATCATCTCAAATAAAAACGGAAGGGAAAGAGTAAAGTGATCATTTCTAGCATCGATCTCTATCATTTGGTGGCGTACTACCACTTACCGAGTCAGTTTCTCCAGTCTTGCCTCTAGCATGCTAACCTTGTTGGACATATAGATCTCTGTTATGTAGTGATGCAGTTGTGCCCCTTACTGTTTATTCCCCGGGCTCCGTTACTACCACTCGTGTTTGTGTGTTTCGATCGATCTCTTCGATTTTGTGCACCTTCTCCCGTCTAAGCTACTTTACCTACATATTTCATTCTCTCCCATATCGTCCATTTCGCCTGTTTTCCTCCCCACTTTCATCGCGTGCGCGCACACACAGTCTCGCATGGACGAGGTTCTAGCTTTGTTGGACGCGCGAATCAAATTGGCCCAGCCGACATTCCACACGTTGGAGCCTCGTTTGGCCGCGCAACACACCGGATTAAACTCGATTTGGCTTGAATTGCAAACAGCCACACGATCTGCTCGAACCAATTCACCGGTTGCCGGGTTGGTGACACGACTCCGGACCGCTCTCGGTCGGAACTGGTTGCAACGAGCCAAACTAACCCGAAAGTGCGTGGGCTGGTTTCCCGCGGAGGAGTTGAATATTATCGGTGCCGTTGGTTTAAACCTTTACTACTAACATGCGTTAAAGTTTTGGGTGCACCATGCCAGAAATTAGTGTTTTAATTTGCGTGTATATCTTTCATTTTGGTGGTTTCCGACCCGGACACCACACGTTGATTATGATTCCTCATTTCGGAGATCAATAGGTCTCGCGTATCACTCACGTCTTTTGTTTTCCGCTTCTTGATCTCCCTATCTCTCGAGTAAACATATTTAACTGTCGGATGTAAAAAAAAATCACGAAATCCATCTTGATTTCATGTGGAATATCTCGCGAGGAAAATAAAGTCGCCGGTTATCAGTATACATAAGGTAGTTATATCGATTCCAGATATGTGACCTATGTTCTTCTTACCAAATCAAAGACCTAACAGGTCGTCACCAACGGTATTTGTGTTATATCTGATTGTTGAAATCACCATTCCCCGTGCACAACACCGTTAAAAGCATGCGATATTATTGTATTTCACACACGTCTGAATCCATACTGTGTGCCAAACAAATCACAGTACAGTAATCTGTATGAAAAATAGAATGTTCCATGATTTGTTTGTGGCCGGATTACTGACAGGTTGCTCAGGCGTAGACGGGTGAATTTTCGTGGGGAATTCAAAACGGGGTCGTTTAACTAACCGCAGTGCAGGGGGATTAAACGTCCAAGGTGCCCAATATCCCTCGATATCCAATCGGTTCAGTGATCACTTCCGTGACCAGAAGTTTTGAGTAAGTGTGGTTTGTATGCCTCTTCTCGTTTGGTTTGGAATCAGGGATTTAGCCAACTCCCCTAGGTGTACTGCCAGTGGTTCATCGACCCGGTTATTTTCGTCCTCTCATTTTGGTGGAAAAACACCTCATTGCCACGAGAAAGCATTGCGTCAGGCTTCTTCAGCGGAAGCTATTTGAATCACTCAAATCGTATAGAGACATTTCGTGAGATACAAGAGAAGAACGACCAGCCAACACACCTATCCCCTGACCATACTGAGGCTCTCAGACGCTGAAGGCATGCACCACAGTACTACGTTCAGCTAATGCTTCTCTTCAGGGTGGTGGTGGCGCAGTGGTTTAGTCGCTGTCACCGGCGTGCTTTGGACCCTATGGTCCGAGGTTCGAGCCCCGCCACCCGACTTTGGTGGTAGGCAGCTCTGCTGTCGTCCGGTTCAATACCACGCCTACCCTATCGGGGTCTTATGTGGTTCGCCACTCCAAGTTCCGGGGCTTAGGTTGCCGATTTCAACCACTGAACAGCAGGTCCTCGTGACTATGGTGTTCACCCCGTCTGCTGTTCATCACACCTAGGTGTGTAATAAAAAAAAGACATGAATCCGATTGAACTGCCTGCAGTAGTTATCTTACCGATCGGAGCTATAGACCCCCAGTCTCACTCCCAACATGTTAGACATGGCACACTGATTGACAGAATGAAATCGTGTATTAGGTTTCCTGTGTAAAGTGTACGCAATCTATTCCACTGAACATTGACTCCTCATTGCTGTACGAACCTCAAACTCTGCCATGCTATTATTTCGGTTAGTTTGGTTCAGTTGATTAGGCATTGAGCAATCGCTCAGTCAAAAATTTTCTACTCTTTGTATCCTAGTGCGGCATGCATAAACGTTTCGATAAAACAATAATTCCATTTCACTCATATCACATTTCCTATCCGATAACTTGAGAGCAAAATTGTGGGTAAAAAAACTGCGAATGACGAGGAAGTAATGGATATAATTGAATACATAATCATTCAAACAAAATCAGAAGGAAATATCATATTGCAATACCGCACGATTTATGTCCAGCACGATTTCGCTGCATCTCAACATAGTGCATACTGCAGAAAATAAAATGTTTTTATAGGGCTTTAGCATAGCAACAAAGTAAAGCAAAATGTATTAAAAACAGACAAAACATAAAAGAGGGAGGGGTAAAAGGACCAATGTCAGGGTAGGGAGAGATTAACGTAAAGTTCTTTTTGCTGACACAGGTGGGGGAGGGGCTTCCATCGATTAATCGCAATCGCTTCAGCAAACCTTAGCAATCTCGCGACTCGTGACTTGTAGACAATTCGAAACGCTGTGCCTCGGTCGACCTGGTGTTGCGTCATCAGCAGATGTCGAGCAATTGCTGAGGATGGGGTCTTGTAGTTTCGACCATCGTTTCTATACAGCGGACTTGATCTCAACTGGGTCAGCTGATTTTGGACCCAATTCGGAATATGTTCCATTCAAACAATGCCGATCTTGTGAACAGACTCGCATGATTGGTCAGAAAACGAATCCCATTGTGATCGTCTCCCCTCCCTCCGCTTTGGGACGCTTTTTGTTCACATTCAGTAATGAAGTACGTTAATGGATGTTCATATTTTGTTTAGGAATAAGTCGATTTGTAATCATCCTAGATTATGAACACTGTTGGTAGCAGCTCACTTGGAACACCAATGATGAGATCACGTTCCACACTGAACTTGTACAGTTCAGAGAATTAACTATGTAGTATAATAGATACACGTCGTTCTCCTTTGATAGGGAAACGGTTGCAAGGAGTAAGAGACTGTTCAAGGAGGTCGGATGGGTCAGAACTATCCGTAAAATATGTTCTACGTGAATCACCGGACACCTCTTTGCTTGGTACCTTGTGTCGTTGTTCGTAATTCTCCGTACCTCCACACTGTCGACAAATATTAGTATTATCTTGGTTTACCTTTTAACGAATGGAAGATCGATCTTAGGATTGACGCGAGTAGGTAAATAATCAAATACGTTTGCTGATGGTTTACTGACAGTGTGTTCCGAAAGCAATCGAAGGTTCCTTTATTTTCTCTCTCTCAAAACTCGTGTTTTTTCCCCTCGCTTTAGATACGGTCAGTTTATGGCAGCGTACACATGTGTACTCCGTGCTGAGGCATTCGATGTACCCGAGGCCCTAATCGAACGTGCCAAACTGTTATGGCAAACGGATAAACGTGAAGCGGCTCAAGCTTGTCTGGACAATGGTATCCCGGAGATCTACGGTGAGGTCGTGTCCACTATCGCCGGTGGTCCGGGCAAAACTGCACAACGACAAGCCCAGCCCGCATTGTGGGCAGCTGCACAACAGGTAATCGTGTGATGTGTTGGATATTGCCCTCTATGCTCTATGTACCCCACTTCCGGATCGCCATGTTCATGTTCTTCAATTGTGTTTTATTTTGCATGAATGTTGCAGCGTGTTCGCGTTGTCCATATTCTCGCATGCTAAAGCGCTACGTGTAATAAATGCCATGGTCCTAAAAGCTATCGCTCGGTCTGAGAAACGGGCAGCCAAAGAGTGAACTATTACCAGCCTCAAGAGATTTGGGCATGATAAACCTGATGGGCTGAGATTTAAACTTACGAATCAATGCACCAAAGATAACAACCTAAGCGACTTTACTATCGATCCTGGGTATTGCTGATCAATACCGGCTGTATGCGCTCACAGTCTCTTGATTGACTGTTTTTTTCTTTAAAAAGCCCGTGTACAATGAATGCTCCTATTATCGAAAGAATGTAAATGGGTTAGTACTGCAATGGTCCCCCCCTTCCAAAGCGATTAGTGTCGGGAGTGACCAATGTTATTCGGTCCTCGGGGGCTGTTCGCCATTTGCGTTCTTGAAATTTGTACCAGCGAAAATCGCAATGTTCCTTTTGACAAGCTAATTACAATGCGTTTTCGTGTGGCAACACTGCTGTTATCGGCAGATGGTTCCAACGAGCAGTGAACGGTGAGAACCCGGTCGTACATCGCATTATCGGCATCATGGGAACGACCACTCACTAGATGAGGGATTTTTTCATTGTCATGTGAAGTTTCTCGTTCTCAAATTGTTCTCATTCTGGACTCAGTTTTCACAATCATATAGACTTACCTCTCTCCTACGCTGAATCGAGATGCACTCTTTATTACGAAATCTACATCCTTGTAATAATCAATAGCTTTCAAGTTATCGCTGAAACTCATAGACTTCGCCGATGGTAAGTAACTATTGCAAATGAACAAATAACGCTTAATCTCATTGATAGTGAGACTACTAGTTTCACTTCATGTATTTACGACAACTCTCGTTTTAAGGCGATTGAATTTACCACTGCCAGGTCGAAAAAGTCTGCGAGAAAGGCATTCTTAACCCTTAGTGATGAAATTAAAAGTTTTTAATTTGCGCAAGTACGAAGTTCCCTCAAAGACGATTGCATAGCAATTCGTCTTAGGGAAAACGTAAGTCGTCAGGGTTGTGGACCAGCATTGGGGCGCTAGGTAATTCAAGTGTGCGAATCTTGCACGGATGCTGATTTCCGAAAGTGACAATCCCGATGAATAGGCGGCCAGCTGCGAAAAGGTTTCTTCCATTCAAGCGGCTAAACTGTTGCGAAAATCTATACTAGAATCGTGCGCTAAAATTCATGCTTCAAATAGAAAACATAAGAGGTGACGTATTTTGTGCATGCGACAACTTCGCTTGGAAGTAATTGATAATGGATGCCGNGCCGTTCTGATAAAATGATTTGCTACTGAAGATTTGTTTCATGTTTTATTTCGCCGAAACCATTCGGAAGGGAAGTGGTACTAGCAATTTGCTTCGATCATACTCTGTTGGGATTAGGATGGTGGTGGAGAAGTGGTTTAACGGCTGACACCGGCGTGCTTTGGACCCTATGGTCTGAGGTTCGAGTCCCGCCACCGCCATGCAACTTAAGTGGTAGGTGGCTTCGCTGTGGTCCGGTTCATTACCACGCCTGACCTTTGGGAGCCTTATTTGGTTCGCCACTTCACGTCTCGGGGCATAAGTTACCGGTTTTCTTCACCGAACGGTAGGTCCTCGTGATTATGGCGTTCACACTGTCCGCTGCTCATCGCTACACGGCTATACGGCTTCTTCAGGCTTTAATTTTTGTATTCTGTAGTCCAAACGAGTCGTGAGTATTTTGTTTGACGCTTATGCACTCCTTTCCTTATCAAGCTTTGCTCTTCGTTCCCATTCATCAGGCACTGCTGTTGCGAGCCCGCTATTGTGAGGAAACCAATCGATTTGACTTCGAGACCACACGTCGCATGTATGAAGAGGTGTGCGAGTTGACCGAGGGTTGTGAAGAAGCGCATTTTCGCCTGGCGCGTTATGTGGATCGGGCCCAGTCGTTGACTAACAACTCGAATCAGCATGAGTATGTTTTTCTGCCTCACAGTTTACTATCTCACCGTTTTCTAATTTGAAATAGTATACCAGCAGTTACATCTGTGTTTTTCCACTTCGGATCTCATGCTAAAACAATAGGTGAGATATTTCTGTCAGTTGCGTGCCCCGGTTCTTGTCTTTACACGCATGTGCACTAGTGTTGGTTCATCACAAGGATGAGAGGACTGCATAGTTTGCTTTTTGTGATGAGCTTCGGACCCTGCCGTCGACAACCAAATTTGGTGGTGGGCGACCTCGCAGCTCAGTATCACGTCTAACCTAGCGTGGCCTTATGTGGCTAGTCGCGCGGTTCCGATTTCTTAAGTGAACATCAAGTCCCCTAGTTGCTACCTGAATAGACTTAAAGGCAAATAAGCAGATCTGGTAATTTCCGTTCCGTTATACTTTGTACGTACCGTCGTTGATGTTACACCTTCGTACGCTGGTTTTTTTAATCATCTTTTGACAGCCCCAGTTCGATGGAGGGGTGGAGAAAAAAACTAAATAATTTAGAAAAGCACGATTGAGAATACAAAGATTTCGGTACACTAAGTTCTAGTGACAAAAATAATTCATCGAAACTATCCATTTGACTTTGTCCCCTTCTGGTCGTGGTGTGATCAACTAGACTCCAGCAATTTCGTTCGAATATCAATTGGATAACAGTTATCCCACTCGTGTACTGCCGCCGTCAAAAAATCAATAAAGGGCATTGTGGAATCCACGTGGCTTCAGATTCTATAGTATATTGGGCTACGCGATTTACCGCGGGATCCCGGTAAATCCAACAGATTCGATTGACCAGAAAATCCGTCTCTCATTAAAACATGTTCATCTATTTTTAAGTCGAGTACATAAATAAAATCCCGCAAGCAAGTCGCTTTTTTAATTTGTTGCTTCGGAACTGCGGGGGGGGGGTAATCGACTGCTGGGCTCCCTGCCATAGCAAACAACCAGCCAACTGCTCGATGTGCGATGTTTTGATGGGCTGCCGTGATCGAAGAGATAAACGCCTATTTCCGACCCGAATACAAGGAGATCACCGACTCCGACATCGAGTGAGGTCGGTTTGTGGTTTTCGCCCATCGTACGCTAGTTAACCGTTATCAGTGTTTCAAGGGCACGCATCGGCTACCAACATCCAATGAATTGGCTCTCTATTTTTCATCCTTAGTTCTGATTTGCAGATAGTTTATATCGTTTTTCATTTGTTCTGAAAAGTGATCTATACACCCCCCCCTCTCATTCGCTGTCCTCGTCAATCATACGCACATGTAATACTTTTTTCCTGGTAGTCTGGAGTTCAGATCTTTCAATAGACCGATAAGTGTGCACTACTAATGAGCTCTTACGAAAGCAAAACTTTGGTCTTCTGGCCTTCTCCAGCATGTGATCGATTGAATCAACTGAGATTTGTACGTAGACGTGACGTCGAAAGGATGGCCAATCTATATTAATAGCGTTATTTGTCTTCCAACGCTGCTCACAAAATAATGGAGTCAAATCGTGAGGTGTAATTATCTGAAAAATGGTGTATTGCTTTCACGCTGTCTCGGGGTTTAGGTTACCGGTGACTTCGAGTCTCTCCCCCTGTTCTGTTCATCACACTTCTCGAAAAACCTGACCGTGCTTGTTGTGTTTCCATTCATATGTTTGAGCCCCTAATCACATCTGTTTGCTCTGTTGTTCTGTCCCATTGTAGTACATTATTGAAAGCAGCTCTGAAACACTACGGATTGGCTCTAAGCTTCGGTAGTCAATTCATTTACCAGTCCATGCCGCGACTGCTCTCGCTCTGGTTAGACTACGGTACAGACTACGCGCGACATTACAGTTCGACTGGCGGGAAGGTAAACAGTGGATCAGTGGATCATCGCATCACAGCCGATCAGCGAACATTCCAGGAAGTTCAAGAGGTGAGCGAAATGATTTGTCCGTGATTAATCTAAACGCTGATTTTCGAATCACGTCTCACACTTGCTGATAAACCTAGTAGGTTTCTTTTTTTTTAATTTGTTTTTCTTGTCGGTGACTAATCTCTAAATATAAAGTGCACTCCGTTATATGATGACACGTTTTTATATGGCATGTGTCAAATAATACTAATCAACATATTGACCACCACCAAGGAGCATTCATAATCATCATCGTACAGTGAGATACAGTGAAGCGAACCACACTGATCGCTGCCAAACTCAAAATGCATACACGGTGTAAGTGAGAAGTAAAAGTGAACCTCTATGCTCAACATTCAGAGAGCACAGTTCAACTGTGCGTACACTATTTCAAGCATTCTAGACTGATAAGAAGTGACAGCATGATCGCCACTACTGTCGGTTAGCTGCCATAACTTTCAGCGTCTCAAACCACAGGGTTACCGAGTTTTTTTTACCCCAACCCGTGAGACACCTGCTCTACCCAATCACTCTGTGCATTTCTCCATGCCAATGAACTACCAAGTAGAGTAGTTGTTCCTGGTCTTTCGGGTTGGGGTCCAAAAAACTCTGTAACCACATGGTTGGAGACGCTGAAGGAAATCTTTGATATACGCATGTTCTGTTATCAACTGTGATCCTATTGCCATCGTATTTCTCATGTGTGTGTGTGTGTGTGTGTTTATTCAGATTATGCGTCAGAACATTAAACGCGTACCGGCCTATCAGTACTATACCGCGTTGGGGCAAGTGCTTTCACGTGTCTGCCACGAAGACCCCACTGTGGTCAACACAATTATCGATCTGATTGTGCGCATTTTTGAAGCCTATCCTCATCAAACCATCTGGTTTATGATGCCACTGAACAATGTAAGTCAGTTCAATATCATTTGATTCAGAGCGTCTGCTTTTTTCTCGCTTGGTTGATATATTGTAGTATGTATTACATGCGTGTCTAGACTATGTATGTAGGCAAATCGCGGTACAACGCTCTCTATGAAAAAGAAATGGGTCCATGATTTGCTCCTTATTGTTATACTGTCAGGTTACCCAGGCCAATACCGGTAAATTTTCTTCGATGATTTACATCTAGAGCCTTCAGCTAACCTCAACCTAGCCCGCAGTGCAGCGGGATAGGATTCAGTTTATCGGATCACGCGCCCTTTGGACAGAGTTGACTCCCTTCGCTTTCCACATAAGGTCAGCTATCACTAAAGGTACAATGACAGGTACCGAATGTGAATGAAGGTGAACTAAATATCGTGTTTTTATGCGTTGGGCACAAGAATGTTTTTATTTTTTAGTGTGGAGTGATACACATTGGAGCCTCGTGGTAGAACTTTATCGGAGAGCGCATTTCGAATCGATCGTGTGAGACGTTGGATGAAATGTCAGAAGATGGATAGGACTAAGAGGAATAAAGTGTGTTCTCATCGGCAAAGGTGTTGATGGGAGTTGGAAGAGGAGACGAGGGAAAACGCAAAATCTTAATTCTGAAACCGGAAGAGTGATGAGAAAGCAATACCGAATATCGGTATGCGGGGTTTGATGCGCTTATGAACTAGAGACTGTACAGATTCTAACCATTCTAACCTTCTTATTGTGCTGTGTCAATCAAACCAACCCTTTCCCTGTGATCGTCCTAATTCTTCTGGCCTATTGTTTCGTAGTTCTCATGCACTTCTTTTGTCAGTTTTACTTCTCATAGTGGAGCTTCTCGTCAAGAACTCGGTTGAGTTCATACATGCTCCAGGAATTTCAAATATTAAGGTAACAATGTTCAATAAGTCTAATGCACTAGCTCTAGTCTGGATGCTAAGCGTCATCTAGTAATCCGAGTGTAAATAACGCTACACAACTGTCATTTTAGTTAAGGACGAAATCATTGACACGGATGTTTGGTACATTTTCCGGATCATGATTTCTTGTTTTCCAGTCAGCTGTTCGTCAACGTCGAGATCGCTGTCAACAGATTTTCAATACAGTCAAGTGAGTTCTCCCGGCTGTGTTGTTATTTGAGCATCGTTTTTAGATGACATGCACCTATAGACTGAAGTATTACTTCCTTCATCTCTAATTTTAGCACACACCTCAATGTACTGTTGTAGAGACAAACGTGATCTCAAAGCCTTCTATTTTGGCTCGTGGAACCCACATCGAAACCTTAAGTGTTGAACTAGACCCAAGTGAAAAGTGTTGATTACAGTTACTTGTGAGTAGTGGTGTGGGATAATTGATATCGATTGATTCGACTGACTATTCTTCGAATTTCATCTTCACGCACAATCCTCAGTTCATCGATTCAACCATACACTCAGAATTCGAATTTCACTCTTATTAGAGCTGGTCCGTGATACATATCCACCGTCCTGTCTGGGATATAAACTCGGGACCCATCACATGGAAGGCGTGTGTTATCACTGTGCCAACTAGCTCAAATCAATCAATATGCATTATCCCGCACCACTACTCACAAGTAACTGAATTAAATGTGAAGGAAGTGCGCTGTCCGACTGAATAATGATGCACCTATCTGACCTTCAAATGACCCTTATGCGGTTTTACAAAAAAATAAGGCTGAATTTCTGTTCCCCCAGTGATTGAAAACATTCTGTATTTATTCAAGTTTCCGTTATTCCAGATAATAGCATATGCTGCGTGAATACGTGGACCTTTTCATCGTATATCATCATTGATCATCGGAATGGTTCAACCGACTTTCACGAATTCACCCTTCGTATTCTGTAATACTTTCGGTAGTAGGTATACTTGATTAGCTCTTTTTATACGACTTGCTCCGGCGTGATGCTTCTTGAATGTCTGGGATCACTGCTGTTTATACCCGTTATTTTTTGGATAGGTTCGTGCAATTCCTTGCCTACTTCTTGTTCCATTACGTTAGTACATATATGTTTTATGGCCTTTGCCTGACCATCTAAGCGGCAGCGCCAACCTATATGTAACGATGATAGCAACCATTGTTTAGGTATGATGTTTGTGGCTCGTCTATTGCCGATCCACCATCACTGGTTGAGACCAGACTGCCAATGATAGTCTTACAGGATCCTTCTTGTCTGTGGTGGATCTAAAAGCATGAGGTGCGTGTGCGCGCGCGTCTTTTAGCGATGAACCCTAAATCGTGAAACCTGGTATTAGTAACCTCCAATCGGTGCAGATACGCAGGCGAGACCAAGCATTCTCTGTTGTTACGCCAGCTGCCGATTGGGAACCTTCGTTGCGCCTGACGAGTACACTTATCTTGTGGTCCAGTGGGTACGTTTTACTTGTCCATGATTTGTTGTATACCTCGTCTAGGGGTATTGTGGATCATAAAACTCGTTTTCAACAACGTTATCAGCTGTCAGATGTGAGGTATATATGGATATGACAGTTGGATTTAGAGGAATACCTCTGGAACATTCTAAAGAACTTCCGAACGATACTGGATTCCATTGGATCATACCTTTGTTGTTGTTGCACTGTTCACAGCGATCGCGCTACTCCAGGATGACTGGATTCATTTTTTTGAATCGTTGTAGTATATATATATCCACTGCGGCATGTCTACATGCGTTTGGTTTGCTCACTTCGGCTAAGCACGCGGTAGTCCTGAAGCGAGAACTGGTTTCCATTATCTAGCAGAGCTCCAATTTGCAATGTGCATTCCGGTCCTATTTCGAAGGTTCACCGCTCGCTGATCGGGCGCCCCAGGTGGAGGGGGTCATCGCGCGATCGATCGCCTTCCGGGGCCGACATAGGATGCATGAAGTAACGCATGAATTGTGTATGCGGTTCAGTCCATTGGGCCGCTCGGATTTTCAGCATCCCCAGCCAGTAACCAGTCAGTGGGGTACCGGTGTTAGCAACTTTATCTCCTTCCGGTAGGTAAATAATCAGGGCATTGACCTTATATAGTGGTGGTCTATACTGAAAATTACACGATGCCATCGTCAGCCTCGTGGAATTTTTTATGCGCTTGCTAGCCTGGGAAAGACCTAACACATTTACGAACACTACCGCAGATCGTGTAAGATCATTTATTTACGGGCCGATGCTTATCTATTCACCTGGAGGCTAGTTCGATAGCAATCAGCTCTGCTAGTCATAATCTTGAGGCATTCCGTGGTCTTCCGAGGGTAGTAAGAA